GTTCTAAACTATTTATGAATGACAAGATGTTCTTATATCTGAGAAATGTCTTCTTTGTTATTTAGTCATCTCGCGAGAAGGAACCACAACGAATTCTAAAGTCATCGATCTGCCGGGTGTTCCAGGCGGCGTGGTTTGGGCAAGACAAGATGTTGTCCGACTTGGAGCAACCCTGCTTGACTGCTGTGGGTCCATCCATCACGGTACTGACCAAGGTACTATGGGGACAAAGGAACATATACCTAAGGAAGTGCATGGCATACCCACCCAGTGCACGGTAAAGTAGAAAATTTGGTACACCGACGAGTGTTCGTAGTAGGTAGATGCTGGTCACTCTGGGTTCACTGGGAAAAGACAGTTGAAACTGGAGATGTGCTTATTGAATTTGCCAATAAGTACAACAAATAACATGGGGGTACAAGGGGTCATAACATAGCTGTTCTCAGGGGTAATAGAATAGCTTTCAATTTCTTTTGTAAAAGCAATTAAAATTTGGACTACTCCGACTCAATCAAGAACCGAAATTCAGCAACATTTTTGAACAATGGATGTGATAGAATAACTGAGCTTTTATATTGTGGATGCAGCATGTCCAGCCCAAATAAGAGTTCTAGACAAGTCCTATGCTTTCAAGATCTGCTAAATATAGAAGGATCGAGGTCCAGTCAGAGAAATTCGAGACACCATCATGGCCAGAACGACGACGATTCGGAGGATGATGGACAGAATGCGGTTGCCACTGCCTTTTTCGAGTTGGCCAACGCTGAGGCCATCTCCTACCGGATATCTCCGGCTTTGGAGATTGTAATCCATCAGGATGTGTCAGCTTGTGGTCAACATACTGGAGGAATTGTATGGGAGACAAGCTACTTGTTGCTGAACTACCTGAGAGCCACTGGACATTCCTGCCAGCGATTGTTGGAAGTTGGGGCAGGATGCGGTCTGGTCGGCCTGGGATGTCACAAGATGGGTACCAAGCTCGCCACCAAAGAAGTCATTATTACAGAAACAAATGAAGTGATGAAGAATCTGACAGAAAACTGGAGACGGAACTATCCCTCATCCTCGAAAGAAACATCGGGAACGGATGATGTTGACGATGATGATGACGACAATAACAATAAGGAATCATCTGACCCAAAACTGAGGATATGTGAACTGGATTGGACCAGATATCGGGAAGATTGCAAGAAGGTCAAGATCAAGAAACATTCGGTTGATACAATTGTCGGAACCGATGTTGTCTTTGCTACATCCTTGGTCGAACCACTCCTGCAAACCATGCGATATTTGGCTCATGACGATACCGTTGCCTACTTGTGCTTGCAGGAGCGTTGCAAGGACTCCCACAAATTACTGTTGGACAAGGCAGGGAGCTATGATTTCAAGATTGAGGATATATCAGAGGAATATGCAGCATTACCGGAATGCAAATGGGGCAAAGACTTGGAATGTTGCTTGCTAAAGTTCACAATTGAGAATAAGAGTGAAACAACGAAGAAAGCAAGGAAAGGAAAGCGAAAGCGATCCAAGGAATCTGATTGAACATGTTGATTGATGGATACTGGCGGAGCGCTCTTGAGTAGCAGTAGTACTCGTTTCTTCCAATACCACGCTGACGAAGGAACAAGTACGCTTGCCCCTTCGCTTTCGTCACCAGCATTGGCATAAAGTGGACAATCAGCAAGCAAGCAAGCTTCATGCGATCATTGATTGGAATGCATTGCTACATTGATATATCAATTCCCTCATAAGAAAGGGGAAAAGAATTCGGATCGATGATGAGACGATCAGAAATCATCAGTTTTCGAACCTTGGTGTCTACTGGTAAGCCATTCTGCCTTATCATTCGATATGAGCCATTGCTAAATATACGAGCAACCGGATCAACAACACAAAAAATAATATAAAACCCAAAGCCTAAACATTTTTAATTGCTGCTACTGCCCATACCATTGGACCAATCCGTGGAATCAGTATTCTTCATTTCCCCCGTGACGGGATCCCTAACATAGGTTCCAGATGGAGAGGAACGAGAACTCCATGGCTTGATCTTTTCAGCCGTCTCTCTTGGTTGTTCATTGTTGCCGTCGATTGGTGGTGGCGGAGGAAGCTCTGAGGCCCAAAGGTTATGCATGTCACCGACTAGATCATCACCACCGTCAGCGACAATGTCTTCTTCGTCGTCTTTTTCGACATCGTCCATAAGAGAATCAACATCACAGTATCCTTCTTCCAAATACTTTTGAATCTTTCCTTCCACCTCTTTGTCGCTTGGTCCATTGGAAGAACACAATTCGACCAAGAAATCTTCGTGCTTTTCCATAACGTCGGTTGCCCTAGCGATAGATAGATGAAGTGTTTGATCCTCGGGAATGGAACCGATCATTGATTTTCTATATTGTATGCGCATGTCAACAAGAATATCATAGTATGGGTCAGAAGAGCAAAAAATGGCATCTCGACATACACATCATGCTTCCTCTCTCATAAATAACTTACATTTGGTCCACGCCACTATTGACAACGATCGAAAGCTCGTCGTCGTCGTTACCAAACATTCCATTTGTGGCTACTAGAACATCTCCAACTTGCAATCCTGCTTGAGCTGCAAATCCTCCAGGAACCAATTTGGAAATAAATACGTAATTACACTCTTGGACGACCGTCTCTTCCACCGTACATCCCAAAGGTTTGTGTTCGGACAATTCGTACTGCACCAGCAATGCGGTATCGTCAAACTCTTGCTTCATGGCGTCCAATACTTTTTCCTTAGTGGCTTCGGAAAGGCCATCGGATTCCGTTTTCTCTCCATCGACTGACGATGATCTTATTTGTGTATTACTTTTGGTTGTCATGATTGGGCTCGTCCTTATGGCTCGTCGTCGTCCTTGTCGTCGTTGTCCTCTCATTGACAGCAGGCAATAAGACTGTGGTTGAGTTACCATTCTCCCATTCCGAAAAGCGCCA